TAGATAGATAGATATATAGATATATGTCACAAGTTCTTGCTGCACAGCTCAGACTCCTAGTGATCCTCCCGTCTCAAGCTCTCTAGCACTGGGATTATAGGTGTGCACCACCATATCTGGTTTTGGTGGCCAGCACAGCATTTCCAGGGCTAGCAAGACATGTGGTAGAAGAGATCAAACGTGGGTCCTTCCACTTGCCAAGCAAGCACTTAGACCACCTAGCTATCTCTCTAGTCCTTTAGCAGTTATTTTCAGAGTAAAAGTAGTGGAGGGTTACATTAAAACACTAAAGTTATAAGGAAATTTAACTTGTTCATTAACTGACATATTAGAGTAGACATTATGTTCAAATTATACATTCCAATTAGTATCTGGGTTATTGGTGTATGTATAATTTCCATTAAATCAAATGTCTTCAGTAAGCCTCCTAAAGCATGTTAGGTAGCTTCTATGTCACACGATGATATTTAAAAGCAGGAAATGGCATTTCTGGTGATTTCATCTGGTGTTAAAAAGGATATTCTGAGCAGAACACTTTCTGTACCAATTATTCAAAGAGCTATCATACAGCTCTCTCCATGGCCTAGACAGTGGTGATTGGACTGTACTCTGGGCAGAAAAGTGACCAAAGCTATTTTAATCTTTCAGCTCGGCTGCTGGAATCCTGTCACAGGTCTCAATGGATCATTGACTGACAAGAAACTAGAGAACAACATGCGTGGAGTAGTCCTCCGGGTGGTGACTGTCCTGGTAAGTCTCATCTGAGCCATGGTTTTTGGTTTTCAAAAGTTCATTTATCTTTGATGCTATTATGTTTAGCTGACAAATTCCATCATTTTAAAATAACTTTATAGAAATACAGATTATGTTTTATAAATATTTTTAGTGGTCAGATTTTCTAGTCTTCAATTTATGTGGACCAGGACCAATTTTTCACAGACATTCCATTGATTCTGTTGTATTTTTCAAGAACTTTCTTAGGCATGATATGCACAATTTCCAGCCTTCTACACTTTATGAAGTAACAGTATCTCTTGAGCATTTTCTCACTATAACTGTTGTGTGCATCCATGAGATACTAATGAAAAATATAGATACATTTTATAAAATATAGAATGTTCAGAAAGGATTCCATTTTTATAAAATATTAACAGACTAAGATAAACATTTTTCTAATAAGGACCTACTGCAAAAGAAAGACCATTGAATTATTTAATAGCTCTCTATTGAGTAACAACTGTATTCCAACTTCATTGCTGAATACTAGGGATATCAGCAAATAAAATAAGCAGATATAGTTCTGCCTTTATGGATCATTATAAATGGTATCACTCATGGGAAGTATTTGTTTTAATTCAGTTTCCTTGTCATAAAGTTGATAAATAGTAACTATTATCATTATTTTCCCTCCTTATAAATTATAAAATAATAGAAACATTTTGAAACAGTACAATATTCAAGTGGCTACTACTGACTAAATAGCCATAAAACATGAACACATGCACTACCCATGCTAGTTTAACATGTTTAGCCTTGTGTAACTATAGGTTTTGAAATCAGTCTATAAATACTAGCTTTATTTTTCTTTAAGATATCCAACTCAGTGGATTAAAGTGCCTACTTAGGCAGACACAGGGGTTTCAGCCCCAGGCCTGCTATACCAGCCCCACCCCTGGGGCATGCTGAGAGGGCACTGAGACTGGGCGTGGTGGCATGCGCCTGTAATCCCAGCACTTGGGAGGCTATAAACAGGAGGATCACTCGTAATGATGAGTCCAATCTACACAGTGAGACCCCGTACACCCTGTACACCCTGTCCTAAGTACAAAAAATAAATAAATAAATAATATCCAACTTGTTTTTAAATTAGAAAAGGATCTCATATCAGCTACATTAATTACAAAATTATTAAGTGGGTGAGGTAGTTTTTTTGATAGATTGATGATAATTGGGTTTTCGTCAATGGTTATCTTTGACATGTTCTCTAACACAAATTAAATAGACCTCACATGATTTCACTGTTTCTTAAAAAAAAAAGATCTGTGAAGTCTCTACAAAAGAAAATTCAAGTGAGTAGCCTATTGTCATTCTTTGTGTACCCATTAACTTATTCCTAGTCATTATTTCTTTCTTTATTTTTATTTTATTTTACTTTTCTTAGCTGGCTCAGCCTGCCCTGAGGGCAGGGCTGGTGCGGCATGTGATGCTGGGGATCAAGATTTAGACCACTGAGCTATCTCATAGGCCCCTTATTCCTAGTTATTAATGTACTTTATTATAAGAAAAAAGTGAATGTGTTCCTGTTTGTACCTGAGGGTGCAGGTAGTCATTTACACTTCTGTGCTATCATTGATTTGTAAAAAGATAGATTTTTAAATTACAATGAACTATTGTCCTTTTGCTTGTAATTATCATGGAAACTTCAGTGACAACAGCAATAAGTAGACAGTATACATATTTTGTTTTTCTTTGAAATAAGAAAACAAATTTGTAAAACAAATTAACCTTACTCAGTTGTTAAGCAAATATTTATTTATCAGTTAATGTATGATAAACTTGGTGATAGATACAAGATAAATTGTACACAAATCTATTCTAAGTGTATGCATAGAATCTTTGTAGAAAAACTCACATACAATAAAGCAGCTAATGCTTATTAAATACTATATACCAAAGTATACTATTCTACAAAGTTTGTGTGTCTGTCCTACTCATTTATTACAGCATTCCTGAGAAATACAGACTTTTCTGCTCCCTAGAATTTGAGGGAAGATACCAACACACTTAGAGATTGAAAAACATATGTGGAAGGTCATACAGATAGGAAGAGCAGAGTTGGAATGCAAATCTAGAAAGTTTCAGCTCCAAAGCACTGAAATCCTTCACTCAGTGATACATTGTACTTATTCCCCTCCTACTATGACAAGTGTAAAGATTAAAGTATCTGTGGAGCTTTTCATTTTTACTTCAGAGTTCGAAATGTTAAACTATGAATAAGGGGACAGTGGGTGTTATTGGGGATAGGTTCACAGGACCAACTGTTTTCAATTCATTTCTGGGCTGAATGAAATGATTGCGGTTTTGTTCACAGAGTGGTTGGTGTGCTTCACACAGTACTAGTGCTTGTCTAGCCCAGGTCCACCTTCACCACTCTCTGTGGTCTGTTTCTGGCAAGCTCTGCTCTGAACAGGTCCTGCATGTGGGCTTTGCGTGGAGCTAGATGAAGAGTCTGTCTTATCCCAAGTTTTCCGTGAGGCATGTATCAGCTGGGTGCCAAGTTGAGTGAAATGGTCTAGATGTATACATTCCCACGATAGTCAACCATTGCTTTTAAAAATTTTGTTTGCTTCCCGACTCCTCTGGAACTAAAACCAGTATGGGTTTTATTTATTTTGTACAAGAAGCATTCCTGGTTTAGATCTTAGATGTATGCCTTTGTGCACTTCTTCCATGTAAAACTGGCAGTCATTTTCCCCCAAACCTGTTCCATGACTCCAAAATCTTAGTAATGTTCTCTAGTATCCTGAAACTAATAGAAGAACAGCTGCGTTGGTGCTACTCAGAGAAAACCAATTGTTCCATGCTTAACTTGATCAACCTAAATACCATCTTCTTGTTTTCCAAGGACTTATCTTGAAAATTATCCAAAAAAGAGAAAGAAAATGGCTCATGTATAAATACCCTGGAGAAGATCCTTAATATTTATATTACAGCTGAAATCTAGCCTCAGTTCTACCCACTCCTATTTTACTTCTTAAGAAATTTATAGCTTTCACTACACACATGTTAGCAAAATATATATTCCTTATACAATTTTGGAATCTTCATTCTTATCATTGGGGTCAAGGATCTTTCCTTGACTTGAGAGAAATAGTTTACTAAACCAAATAATTCATCACTGTATGGTTTGTGACTCCAGAGGCCAATAACTGGTATACTCAAAACATTCATTGAAGAAAATTAAATAAAGGAATTATTAACAAAAAGAATGAATAAATATGAGTAAAAGAATCCAAACAGTGTGGAAGTACCAAGGCCTATGTGTACTGTAAGCCTTGAGTTTCATGGAGATTGGAGGAGTAAAGGGGGGAGCAACATTACCTGACTTGGTAATAGCTAGAAGCAAGGAATGGAGACCACTCCTGTATCTGTGAACTGTAGTACAGGGATAGACTGGGGGAAGAGGATCACTGTCCAAACAGTTGACAAAAATAGCAGGACTAGGGAATAATCCAGCCTTGGCCACCCACCTGTCCATCTCTTTCCATTTTCTCCAGTAATGGCATCTTATCCTGTAGTAGTGGTGCTCAAACAAATTATGCGTCATACAACAGAAAACACTGTAGCTAAATAATATGTGACAGTTTTACAAAATTAAGTCAATAGACATCTCTGGAAAGTTAAACACAAAATACCAGACAAGAAACTTTCATAAGGGAAGGAATATTTTGGGGAGATTCAACAGGGCTGAATAGAAGAGCTGCATTGGTGCTACTCAGAGAAAACCAACTGAAAGCACAGGTAATAGATAGAAAGGGAGGGCCATATATCTGATGCCCAAATCCATCTTAAATAAGAGACCTGTATATTAAACAAAACATAGACATAGGACTTTAGAAAACAGCAGTCGGCCCACAGGGCTGCCAATAGCATGCAATCTGCTTGGCTGAGCAAGTTTCACCATACTATGAAGTCTCCAAGAGCCAGATGGAATGCAGAAGTGTAGCTAACTCAAGCCAAATGTGGTAGATTTGGGAGGCAAGGCCCCTTGCATCTTATGTTTTCCTCTACATAGAAGTAACTTGGTAGGAAATTTCACCCACACTACTCCCTCCCCAATGGGCTGTCAGCTTTACATTTTTTGTTGTGTATTCTAACTAGCACCCTTAAGGACAACAGGGTTAGGGACCACAGCAGAGGCAATCTATGGCACTTCCTGCCCTGTGACAGTGAGAGGGACACAGATGCATAACATTTAAACAAGCATAGCACCTCCCCAATGGGAGAGGAGATTGAAGTGGGCTGAATAACTTTGTGCTCCTCCTAAGACTGAGTCAGAAAAGCTAGAGACCATAGTGGCATGGTAGTACATGACAGTGGCAACAGTGGCAAAGATAATGAGTGGAAGAGAATGACCCATCCTGCCTTGGGACTGGTGAGGTTGGCACCACCTTCTCAGCAGAGGAGATAGAAATGGAACCAGCAGTCTCTACAGTGACAGCAGGAGCAGAGAGATAGAGATAGCCACAGTGTCCCACCTCATAGCACTTAGCAATATGTAGCATAAGAGGACAGAGACAAGGCAGTGGAAGTGGCACAGAGAAGGCTGGTCTAACCAGGAGAAACCAACTACATTTGGAGCAACCTCAGACTGTGCCTGTGTAAGGGCACCACAGCAACTGGGAGAGAGACACAGAAACAAACAGGTTTTTGGATTTTTTTTTTAGTTTGTTTAGGTCTTTACCTTTGTTCTTATTCTGATCCACTTTTCTTCCTTCTCTCTTTCTTCAACTATCTCTTTTGATCTTATGATACCTACATATAAGAACATTTTCTTAAGTCTTCATGATCCAATCTAAAACCTTTTGCTTTCTCCCTCATTCTCTCTCATCTGCCCCATTCTCCAGTTTCCCAAAGCCTAGAGGATCATCTGTTGTCCTCCAGCTTTGCTTCTAGTATATTTGTCTTCATTTGGCTTTCTGTTTTGTCCCTTATTACTCTTAAATTTCCCCACTGCGAGGTTAATTCAC